AACCAGAGGGCCAAACTTTGCATGCCTTCGACATCCTCGAGAGCCACAACGCGAAGATAATGACTAACGAAAACCTGTGTCAAACCTCCAGAAATATTCTTCCCTGATTGTTCCAATAAAACAATTGCCTTGTTGAGCCCTGGTAAGGCTAACACCCTGAAATCGTGATGGTAATTCGCTCTTGGCAGATTCCGTTTGGCGATCTGGGTTACAACCAGAGGGCCAAACTTTGCATGCCTTCGACATCCTCGAGAGCCACAACGCGAAGATAATGACTAACGAAAACCTGTGTCGAACCTCCAGAAATATTCTTCCCTGATTGTTCCAATAAAACAATTGCCGTGTTGAGCCCTGGTAAGGCTAACACCCTGAAATCGTGATGGTAATTCGCTCTTGGCAGATTCCGTTTGGCGATCTCGTTGGCCTGAAGTATTACTGCGCGTAACCATAGAGATATGGAGTTTGCGACTAACTTTGGTCATGGACATAGTAAACACGGGTATAAATAACCGCTTCCTCGATCCACGCCTAGTCTTGGAGCGGCGAATGAAAACTCGAACTGCTCGCACCAAGCCCAGAAGAAATTGGCCTTCATGTACAACTCCCACTATTGTCGATATTGGTGGGATGGTGAAGGAACGGTTGGGTTGCCCTGGTAGAATATTTTAGCAATAAAATCCCAGCATAACCCGAGATATACCGCTCTGTGCGTCCCATGCTCAAAACGGCTCTGGGTGGTGTCGATCACATGTAGTTCGCTCATGCGTGCCGCCGTTGCTAATGCCAAGAGAAACCATTGTTTTCTTGGTGAGGTCATAAAATGAGGACGCATAGAGGGGGAGGAAGGGGACTCTCGCAAACCTCAAAGTACCACGTTCAAATCCCAAGCAGGTGGGCGGAGCTTGGCCTTCTGATCCTCAAGCCTGAATGAGCGTAACAGTGCCTGTAGTTCCGTGACCTTAATCACCTTGTGATTTTCCGGAACAGCCAACACTGAGTTAGGTGCAGCCAATTACGCAGTAATGGTGCTACCTTCCAAGTGTCTTTGGGTACGCAAATGTAGGAGGTATTCCATAGGAATTGTGATGCAATCATAGGGTCTTGATACTTTAGCCTTGCAAAAAGTCTCAAATGATCCCCACTTGTCTTTGTAGAGGAACGATGAACAAAAGCTATAGCTTTGCTTCCCCGTGTCGAAATAACCCTTTGCACTTAAACGCCTTTTGAAGACGAACCATGCGTACAGACGTTGGGTGAGGCAATTTGCTGTGAGGGTGGATGAGTAGGTTGGACCACTGTGGGAGGGGTCGTGGATCGTCTTCAGCTAGATTTTTCTGAGCTTGACGAACCATCCTCTCGCCGGTCACCAGGGCACGACCAAGGTAAGAGCAAGATACCTTGTCTCTTTGATCCCCTATATCATCTTGGGAAGTAAAACTGGTGGCATAAAAGTGTATGCTTTTAGCCCTTCCGAAGGGATACTGAACTCATCCGACGCCCAAGTCTGCGGATCCGGTAACAGAGAGATATACATCATGAGTTGGTGGTCTAGGCAAGTAAGAAACAAGTCATGTTCGGTTGCCTGAACTTCTGAAGCAGTAACTGAAATGCATCTGTGAGAAATTTCCACTCGGTGGGAGCCACCCTGTCTGGACATGATAAGGTATCGTCCAGTATGTTTCGACATCCAGGGATGTGCTGAACTATGAACTGTAGCCGATCGAAAAAAATGGAGAAATCTTAATGTCTGTTGAAGTACAAAGTGGGAGTGTGTTTAGCTAGTTTAGCCCTGTGCTGCAGTGATTAACCCTAGCAACACTTGCCATTGGCAAAGCATTTGTGGTTGAAGTAGAACAGATGACAACAGACGTAGAAACTTGTGTCATCTGTCCCTCGGTACAGATAGGAGATCCTGGTCTGTCTGGAACAGGCCTCCTATGAACTGAAGCCAATAGGAAGGAGATAACACCCAACTTCGCCCCGTTGATTATCCATTCCAGTTAAAAAGATATAGTAGCCTGGTGAATTCCCGGTGGCGTACTAACGTTGACATGTTTTGATGAGAGTAGATGTCCTCCATCTACGACTCGAAGCAAGTGTTCGTCAAGTGTAGATACGCAGTTATTGGCTTCATTACTCCTGTAAATAGCCATAGGGTCACGAACATGTCAGATGGGAAAACCTCCCTGTTGGTAGTGAACCCCATTGAATTGGACCTGAGGAGTCTACGGTTGGGATGGATAGTCGAGACTGATCAAGAATCAAACATAATGATGTTGATTATGAGAGGTCTCAACGTGGTGAGGCGGCCATAATGTGGACGCTTCAGATAACATTCATTGAACACTGAGAGATTGTGGATCATTCTCATCTTGTCTGGGTCCTTCATGGGTACCAGGCAGATGTGAGGATAAAACCCGAGTGTAAAGACTGGGTTGTGAACCAACTCTACAGCACTTCTTACCAACAGTATGTCTATGTTGGATTTTCCAAATCAAACTGCGGTCAACGGTGGGGTTACCTCTACATGTATACGGAAACCATGATATAGTATGATGAGTACGAAATCGTCCCTGAGTCTTGTTTCTGCCACGCCCTTTCCCAGTAAGAGAATACTGGTCTACCTTGAGAGACGTGTGTCTAGGCTTATAATTGCCTGACTTGCCAGCCCGCTGGGATAGACTAAAAGAGACGTGCTCTTGAGTCTTGAGCACAGTGTCATTCCAAGCGTTTTGGGAACTTGGCGTGCGTGTCTGCGATCTGTTCATTGAACAGGGGAGTAGATGACCAAGATTGACGTAGCAGCCTGACCTTGAAACCAGAATATCAGTTGGAAACACTGTCAAGTCTGGGTGTAACGGTAAACTCCTTCAGGGCGGTCTCAAGATGAATTTTCCTGTGGTTAATCTGACGCTGTAGGAAAATCACCATAGTTTGGAAGTGATCTTATCAGATAGGGTTATCCTCTGATAGATCCTGATCCGCCACAAACATTGACGATGTTGGTGGCTTAAATGATGGAGCATATGTGAGTTTGGAGAAGTCTTCCTCCAATGACCACGTGGTGTCCCTCTTATTTACCCCGTTACCAGGGGAGGGCGTTACTGACACGAAATGGTCTGCTACCCGATCGGGTACTTGTGCTAAGCCGGTGATCAGGTGCACAGTGCCTTACCTATCAGCAGGTTTTGATGACCCGCCAGGATAAGGAGTCATGTGGTGATGTTCCCGTACTTACTGCCCAGAGATGTATGCTGTACCAGATTTTAGGTATTAGGTATACGTTAGGCGCAGATGTAATCGTTTACACTTGTGCCAAGGATGTTGGAACATCGCTTAGCTGATCATGTGCCGGTTGCATAAAGCACACTGTAAGCTCTTGGGCTGACGTCATTGTAGAGACCATGATGGGTACGCAGACGCTGCGCTCAGCGCAGGTCTATGAAACAAGGCTCATCAGTGATTGTTGACGCCTGAGCGTACATCTTCTGCGCTGGATATGTTGGAACAGCGCTAAGCTGATCGTGCATTGCTTGTGTAATAGAGGTGCTTGGGTAGTAGTCAGGCGCTGCGCTCGGCGCAGGTAACTGAGACACAAAGCTCAAAGGTATTGACTGGACCATGGCTTGCATCTGTGCTACCCCCATCATAGCATCTTGAGATGCTGGTGCTGTCGCCGACGTCACAGATTTAACATATCTGGGAGTGTCTGGCAGCTGAAAAATAGGAGCAGTTACGATACTCACAAAATCCTCCGGTATTGTTGATTTCAGTGGAGGGTGTACTTCTGTTGTCACAGTACGGGTGTCATATTACCTGCCAATAATAACAGTTGGGTGGTAATGACCGAACCATGTCTTTCGCTATTCCGTGATTGTGACATTCCTCTCGTCTCACGACAGGATTACTGCAAAATATGATTGTGAGTAACCTGCTTTTATATTGTAAAACTCGTTGGAGAGAGATTTACACAAAAATTACATTTAGAATTTGGCGAGCACATCTACATGCATGCCGAGGAACGTGCATCTTTGGGCAATTTTTTCCACGACAATATGTACAACACCCAAACATTAGTTACGCAATTAAACCATTGTTGAAGAAATGGTACTGGAAGAATGCCATAGAATTGAACAATAATCTATCGGCAAAAAAACGAGTTGCAAGGGTATACAATATTTTTATATATGCAACTCAATGTAAACCAAGGCTATTTACATGTAGAATTTGGAGAGCACATCTGCGTGCAAACCAAACAACGTCGATGATAATCTTGTAAGATTTTTTCCACGACAATTAGTACAATCGCGCAAACATAGGTACGCAAATAAATAATTGTTGATGAAGCGGGACTGGAAGAAAGCCGTAGATTTGATATTAATCTATCGGCAAACATAATTTTAACGAGTTGAAAATGTAATGTATACAATAATTTATATATACGCAACTCACTGTTACGCCAAAGCTAGTAGTATTTAAGAACACAAGAATATGTTATACATACGTAGCTGAGAATTGTAAACAATTTGACTACCTTGGCAGGCAATCGATTGTAACACAATTAAAAATGGCGGCGAACAACAAATATGTGGCGGGAAAAAAGACAAGAGTCTTTTCACGCCTAATTAATCCAAATAAAACGACACAACATTGTGAAAGTAATATGAAAAGAATACACCACCCATCACAGATCAATTTTAGGATTGAAGACGAAAACTGAAGGTCTAAATTAATCCAAAAGGAGAGCTCCGCTGGGACACGTCCTTGCTGCACTGCGATAAGCAGGGATGTGAAGATGACCTAAAGTGTCATCAAGGTCACAGGACCTCGATGGGACTTCAGAACAACAACTTTATTTCTTCACCCAGGACCTTCGCAGTTGCCCTGTCCTTCTAGTTGTCGTAAGGTAAGCAGTGAATGCATTAAGGAGTAATGCAGGATAAGTAAAATATATAAGTAAATCAATTCAATCACACCTATTGCCCTTGTATAGCACTTACCTCTTAAAGCTTCAAGGTGGTCTTCAGCTTTTGTTTCCTGGAGCCCCTCTTTGTGGAACATGTTGGTGTCAACAGGACCCGGGGCATAGTTCAACACCCGGAAGTCAGGCTGCTCAAGTGCCAGCGTCCTCATGAACATGTCACGGAAAGCCTTGCCTGAAACATACCGACATGTTGGTGTCAACAGCAGGGCTGGGACAGGTAACTCAGGTTTTCAAGTCGGGTGGGTGCTGAGCAGGACATGGGTACACACAGGACTATCCGGACCCGTGGTTAGTTACATGATATATTCTTTAATGACAAAAACTCACTTTAGCTCAGTGGTTACACTACAAGTCGCTAATGTTCACATTTTTTTCTGTGATGTACACAATCCTTTTGACTTTAATCAACTTCAGTGTATGCATGATCTGATCGTTTGATACATGTATATTTAAATAATTTTGGCCATGGCTTTGGTAAAACAATTCCCACTCAGACATTTTGTTCCCAGCTCTTGAGACCTGCAGTGGGTACCAGATACGGTTGGGTAATTAGGGGTAGGTTACCAAGGTAGTAAATTTTGACTAATCAACAGGACCCAGGGCATAGCTCAACACCTGGAAGTCAGGCTGCTCCAGTGCCAGCATCCTCATGAACATGTCACGGAAAGCCTTGCCTGAAACATACCGACATGTTGGTGTCAACAGGACCCGGGGCAAAGCTCAAAACCTGGAGAGTGAGTGAGTATGGTTTTAAGCCACTTTTAGCCATATTCCAGCAATTTCACAGCAGGGGACACCAGAAATGGGCTTCACACATTGTACCCATGTTGGGAATCGAACCCGGTTCTTTGTCTTGACTCGCAAAAGTTTTAACCACAAGGCTACCTGACCGCCCCCCCTCAACACCGGAAGCGGGCTGCTCCAGTGCCAGTGTCCTCATAAAAATGTCACGGAAAGCCTTGCCTGAAACATACCGCCATGTTGGGGCATAGCTCAACACCTGGAAGTCCGGCTGCTCCAGTGCCAGTGTCCTCATGAAAATGTCACAGAAAGGCTTGCCAGAAACATACCGCCATGTTGGGGCATAGCTCAACACCTGGAAGTCCGGCTGCTCCAGTGCCAGTGTCCTCATGAAAATGTCACAGAAAGGCTTGCCTGAAACATACCGCCATGTTGGGGCATAGCTCAACACCTGGAAGTCGGGCTGCTCCAGTGCCAGTGTCCTCATGAAAATGTCACGGAAAGCCTTGCCTGAAACATACCGCCATGTTGGGGCATAGCTCAACACCTGGAAGTCGGGCTGCTCCAGTGCCAGTGTCCTCATGAAAATGTCACGGAAAGCCTTGCCTGAAACATACCGCCATGTTGGGGCATAGCTCAACACCTGGAAGTCCGGCTGCTCCAGTGCCAGTGTCCTCATGAAAAATGTCACAGAAAGGCTTGCCAGAAACATACCGCCATGTTGGGGCATAGCTCAACACCTGGAAGTCCGGCTGCTCCAGTGCCAGTGTCCTCATGAAAATGTCACAGAAAGGCTTGCCAGAAACATACCGCCATGTTGGGGCATAGCTCAACACCTGGAAGTCCGGCTGCTCCAGTGCCAGTGTCCTCATGAAAATGTCACAGAAAGGCTTGCCAGAAACATACCGCCATGTTGGGGCATAGCTCAACACCTGGAAGTCCAGCTGCTCCAGTGCCAGTGTCCTCATGAAAATGTCACGGAAAGCCTTGCCTGAAACATACCGCCATGTTGGGGCATAGCTCAACACCTGGAAGTCCGGCTGCTCCAGTGCCAGTGTCCTCATGAAAATGTCACAGAAAGGCTTGCCAGAAACATACCGCCATGTTGGGGCATAGCTCAACACCTGGAAGTCCGGCTGCTCCAGTGCCAGTGTCCTCATGAAAATGTCACAGAAAGGCTTGCCAGAAACATACCGCCATGTTGGGGCATAGCTCAACACCTGGAAGTCCAGCTGCTCCAGTGCCAGTGTCCTCATGAAAATGTCACAGAAAGGCTTGCCAGAAACATATTATTCTTCCACTTCATGGTACTTCAGCCATCACCACACTGCAGGTCAATGGTACTGCACAGCAAAACTTAAACGCCTCCAACAGCCCATGAAGATCATTATATTTACAAAGGATGTCCACTGGTCTGTTTTCAGAGTATTTACATTTTTCACAGATAAATGATAAGTGGATGATGTAATGTTACTGTCCACCGGAAAACAGAAGTGAGTTTGTGTGCACTTTCTTGCACAAGGCAACTGCATCAACTTCCTCATGTTGGGAAATCACACACAATTGTGAACAGTGGTGAATAAAAGTATATTACAAAACATCCAACTTTTGCAAATATGTTAGCCACATAAGTGTAAAACATTCATATATACCGGTAAGTCAACACATGTGGATAAACAGATGCATATTTACAGTTTTCCCACAATTTCTGATGCAGTATAGTGTAGTTGACAATGCAGTGACATCGTAGTCAAAAGAACGTTACTTCGACTTGTAATGTTCACCTGATTCCAAATAGTAATATGTGGAAGGTTCATATATCCACCAACCAATCTGATAAACAAACAAGCAACAATTAAATTTAAAGATTGTTCATCTTGTCAATATCTGTCTTCCTCAACATTATAACTTTATTACCAACTTGGCAATAGCATGATATGCCCCCAGTAGATTCTCCCTGGTAGATTTGAACTAATCTAATTACTCAAAATTTAATTAGAAGTAAATACCAGACCCCCTGAAACTGTGGCCACCCGTGGCTTCCGTTGTTGAGTTTTTCACCTTTGTTATCTTATTACTTTTGTTGTTCTTACAAATACATATATGTTTTCTGCTTCATAGCAATTATTTACCTGATGAAGGAGTAGGTATGTACTCCGAAACGTGTCCCTCATAATAAAGAAGTTGACATTCATAAATTTTCTTCCTTAACTATAGTAACACGTTGAGTTGCATTTGTCGTGACGTCATCCATCCTAAAAATTCCATTGGACGTTACGTCCCTTGGTCTTACAAAAGTCATAAAATGACAAAGTCATTCACTTGAAACAGAAGTTGAACCCTATAAAGTTGGGAGTTCGAATGAATTCCAGACATGGTTAATGCTGAAAATGGATTAATATGAATGTTCTGTGAAGTTTCTGTGTGTTTGAGTCATACTAAAAGGCTAGATGGGCTGCTGATGACAGGGATTACCGCTAGAGGTGGCGCAGTTGCATTTCCAGAGGCACGACGGTGTGAAGCTTCATGATTTCTAATAGTAGGTAGAGCATTCTCTGAACATTAAAAAAATCAAATCATTAAAGATTGAAATGTGAAAACTTTGATAACGGCATTAGTTTAGGTGGAATGAGCACAATCTAAAAGAAATTGTCGAATGATGATAATGTCCCTAATTGATGCTATTTTCATACATTGTTGAATTCCTCTGCTCGATTGATAACGGAACATTTCACGTTTTTTTTGCAAAAGAACAACAGTCAGCTTGGTGGTGTCCATCTAGGCGAGGATGCTGGCTACAGTCTGTATGACATTTTAATCTATCCATTTATATGAGTCATCAATGAATATGTATCATCAATCTGTGCTTGAATGTATATATCATTTATCCATTAGGCGACAATTTTTTTATTTCTTGGTTTACGGATGCGCCGCTCTTTCAAAGTCCAAATGTTAAAAAAAAAAAAGAAGGGTTTTTTCAGATTAAAAACGATGTTTTATTGGTCTGTTTTCAGTCGTACAATTGGGTATCTCATACCTCTAGTCGCACGTTAAAAGGAAGCCAGAAGCTGGAATGTAAACAATAAACTTGTTTCCGTCCGGTTGCGCACGCACCTCCCTATGACATGCCACAAATCTCGAAGAATAAGCCATCAAGCAGGACAGGACTGGATTACTTCCCAGTGGGGATGGCTGGGTGGGAACGTACGACTGAAAACAGACCAATAAAACATCGTTTTTAATCTGAAAAACCCATGTTTTAGTCTGTTTTCAGTCGTACAATTGGGTAGAATTCGACGGAACACGGGAAGTAATCAGGAAGTGACCTCTTTCACGTCGAATGTACCAAGTTCCTCACCCCTGTAGTGACAATAGAACATTCGACCAGATGCACGGACGAGACAAAATGTTTATCACGAACTCACAGCATGGTTAATGCTCATCGACACACAACTAATTATCGATGCGACAGGACAACTGCACGCGTCAGTTGAACTGCGATCGAAGTGGTCGACGTATAGTTTAGTTACAGAGCAACTTGCAGTATACAAGGTAACTAAAACAGCATGTTTAATGCTATTCGACCCACAAGTAAGTATCGATGTGACAGGACAATTGCACACGTCAGTTGAATTGCGATCGAAGTGTGGTCGGCGCATAGTTTAGTTACAGAGCAACTCGCAGTATAAAAGGTAACTAAAAAATACGAGCAGTACTATAAAGTATGGGAAGACGATGCATACACCGAATAACCATAACAAAACAGCCGAAGAACTGCATGCAACAAAAAACCAGAAGAATGCGTACATTCACCAACAGTTTTTATTGTAACCTGCGAAGAGATCTACTTGAGGCAACCAGAGTCGATCTGTCAGCAGATGAAAAACTGTCGGGTGGATCATCCACTCCGTGGGAGACGGCCTCGATGGTCTCGACAGGGCGTCGACTATCACATTCTTGGCCCCGGGATGATACGGGCGCGTACGCCCATGTCTAAGGATCCTCACTTCTGCCCCCGCTGGCTCTGTCCCCCCCTCTGATACTTGGAAAAGGAGACCTGGCAACCGTTTCTGTCCGCATCTCTCTCGTGGGACGGCTGTCGAGGCGTGTCCCTACGAAAGGCCTGTTGCACATTTTCGTTTCTATAACGGCGTCGTGGGGCGTTCGAAACCGGTGGCCGCCTGGACATGTTGTGTGAAGCCGAAATGATGATGTCACGCTCGGCTTCCTTGGAGTACTTGTCCAGAACGTCGTTGGTACGACCGTCAAACAACTGTTGCGATGACCACGGGGCCCGTAAGAGTGTCCTGCCATGACGATCAGGTAGGTCAGTGCAGGCGATGTAACCATGACGACGTGCCGTAGTAATCTGGCCCGATACATATCGGGACTGGGCGAGGACGTCCGAGATCCACCGTTGCATACAGGTGAGGATTGATGGCACCGTCTTTTGGTCCTCGTCGAGGGGGTCTTTCTCCTCGAAGTACACTGAGAGGGCCTCGATCGCTGTCGACAGCATAGCAAGCGGTTGTAGCTGGTGACGAACAGCAGTGTCCATGGATTCCAAATGCCTGTCTTCTACTAGAATCTTGGAGGGCGCTGGTGTCTTGAAGAGTAGCCCCCAATCCAAGTCCCTACTCATGGGTGACGAAAACGGCATGCCATAGATCGGGTAACTAGATCGACCAGGCGGCTTGTTGAAACTCTGTCCCGGTAGAGCAGAGGCAAAGTTCTGGTCCATATCGTGAGCCATGGCTCTGAAGACATCGGGAGGTGAAAACTGAAGAGACTGTGGCATATCACCGACCTTAAAGCCAGCACGCGTCGGTTTGTCGGCATCATTTGATAACTCAGGCAGAAAGTTAGATAGCCAAGCAAACAACTCAATGTCTTTGGGAGGCCGAGGAGGGCTGTCGTCACAATCCATCGTCGACGTCGATTGTGTAGGCGTAGATGAAGGAACTGGTGTACTGGTCCATGGTCCATGGACCTCCGACGTAGTCGAATCCTTCTTGGTCGACGCCGTCGAGGCGACTACCGCCGCTGTGATCTGGGCTATCAAAGTCGGGTCGATAGGAAAGTGAGACGAGGGTGTCGATCGGTCATCAGCTCTACGAAGCTGATCTAAAAAAAACTCCCTTCGAGAGCGTCGCACGTCCCCGTGGGGGCGAGGGCTACGATCTCTAACTGTAGAAGTAGTACGATCCCTATCGTAGTTATCGTCCGAAACAAACTCACGACGTCCACGAAGGCGACAAACGTCCTCGTGTCGTTTACTGTCTATCGACGAGGCCCTAGACCTGTCGTCCCGTGAACGGGAACGACTCCTGGAGAGGGATCTGTGTTCACTGTCGACCCGCACGACGTTCCTATCGTCGTTGGTAGGACGAGAGACGGACCGATTGGGGACCGTAGTCCCCCCGTGGTCCTCGTCACCACCCGGTCCCGTTGTAACGGGGGTGGCTGAGTGACGCTCTCGATCAACCGATTGACGAAGATCAGTAGTGCGGGAAGTATCATCAGCAGGCGAACGGTCACGTGTCTTGTCGAAAACATAAGTTGACTGAGGCGGGTCTTTTTCAACTGATTTCTTGGGTGTGGCCGACGCGCCACCCCCAGGGCCAGATGTAGAGGGTGCAGAGTCCAAGGATCCACCCGATGACCTTCTCTGCTTGTAGCGCTGGTCAGTAGCCCGCTTTGCCAACGCACGAAGATACAAGTTAAAGTTGATAGAAGACAAGTGCTCACATTCTTTACAACGTTTATCCCACGAACACGTTTAAAACCCGTCCTTAATTATGCAGTAAGGACAATACTTGTGAGGATCTACTTGTGACAGTTTTCGTTGACACGAGGCACAAATGCCCGCCATCAAGTCAAACAGTGAAACACGTGTTGAACACAAACAATGGATTACCAAGGATTACATTCCAGGAGTCTACAGGGAAGACATATTATCATTACTTTATTAGAACAACAACTGTAGACACACGATAAGTACTAGTAGAATACAAACTAGCAGTCTATCGCAAAAGTCCTTCTCGAGCGACCAGCTCAGAGGCGCGCTGAGAGATTTGTGGGATGTCATAGGGAGGTGCGTGCGCAACCGGACGGAAACAAGTTTATTGTTTACATTCCAGCTTCTGGCTTCCTTTTAACGTGCGACTAGAGGTATGAGATACCCAATTGTACGACTGAAAACAGACTAAAACATGAAAATTACCCTTTTTTTTATTACCGCCGATCTTTTCGACAAAAAGTTCAAAAAAAAGAAGAAAGATTTCATTTCCTCATCGAGAGTAAAGCAAAGGGAAGTCACTCTGATATTTCTTGCTGGGATCCTTCTCTAATACCATCAAAGCTTGTCAACGCAAAGCGCAGTGGTGACCAGTTTAACTATTTCAACACTGTTGGCCGTTCAAAGCCACAAGTCACACCGCACGGTAGACCGTCCAAGTCACGTCAAAATAGTTTATAATTATATTAACCTACTTGTCATATCGTTCATTTATTAAATCTATCACATTTCACAATGTCTGAAATACGTATTCCATTTGATTTTATCATTTCTTTAACTATAGATAAAAAATGTATTCACTAGACACTATTTCCCCGCAATGTTATTGAAAATAAAATTCTCGGACACGCTTCGAAAAACGGGTCCTCATCGAACATGTCAAACAGCAAAATAAAGACCTTCCACGTGCTGAAACGTCTTTATTTACAAAGTAATAAAATCATCAAAAATATATCTATAAAAGTTGCCAAACTGACATCTTAGTTATTATTTCCAACTTTTCGTGCGATCGCATGTAATCGTCAGTCAAAAGACATCTCGCCTTTCATCGCCTCGATTTCTCGGCTCGGACACGATGTCTTAATGCCAAAATCTATGCATAAGAAATCTTTGTCACAGCTCGTAACCTAGCTCTATGCATCCATAAAGTTCCATATTTTTAATATAGATCGCGATTTCATGCTTAAACGTTCAGAATAACATGATTTAACCCAAACCTTTCGCCAAAGTCTGAAAATTACCGTTGCTGTAATTTGATTGGCTGCCTTAGGTCACATGCTTAAATTTGACCAATCACGAACCTTGTAGCAGATTTTGTCGGTGAAACAATATAAGTTTTTTTAATGTATACTGACATGGCAGCCTTCGACGTATGTGTTATTCATACGAAGCTTTGAAAACGGAGGTATCTCCTCATGTTATTGAGCGGACAGCCACTATCATTGGGAAATGGGTGATGACAGATATTATTTGTAATTCTTTTTAAAATAACGTTCCAACAACGTAAATTAATGCAAATAAAAAAGAAATGGGTAAATGGATTTTATGAATTCTTATATTTGCCGAAAAAATCGTTAAATTTGCGCTTCATTGGTCCTTAATCTGGACGTTATGAATGTTTTAGCTTACATTATTTTTATTTAAAACAAACTTTATTTAGTTGTGCCCATGCTGCCAAAATAGCAGCGTCTTTCATGCATTTCCATCCATGACATGAATATTGTTATGTTGCCATTTGTGCACAAGCTGAGTGCCAGGGATATAATAAAATGTTCTTGAAAAATTGAGTTATTTTACTTTTGTTACGCCAGGATATTTTTTTCATACCTACCTAACTTTTTAGGAAAATATTCAAGTAAAAAAAATGTGAGAGGCTTTTTTTTCTTTTTCTTTTAAATTGGCCTGCCTCACTTTTGAAATGAGTTTGAAATCCGTAAACCAAGAAATAAAAAAAGTGTCGCCTTAGCATGATCATATGATTATATAGTTTTTGTTATAAAGTATACATACATGGATAAATTTATCATTCCACACTTCAATATCAATGTACAATTATATAATTCCAAATTAATCTATCTATCATCCACAAAATCAAATTTCAGATTGATGTGAAATCTTTTGCGCCAAAAGACCCAAAGTCAGTGAGAGAACAAAATGTTTCTCAGATATTGACATTTGTGTTTTCAGGGGTCAATGGCCAAGGCCCCATGAATATCAGAATCACTTTAACATCAATATTTCATCCTCAAACCTTTTCCATAGGTGTACAGATACTAAACTATACTCACCTGAACAATAAAGTCCCCAGCTGGCCATAGGTTGCACAGCCGATAGTGATGTTATGTTGACAACCACTTTAGAAGGTACATCTTTAAACATCTGCATAAATTGAGCATTCAGTGCAACAAGTCCGGCTACATTCACATCCAGGTAGTGAGACACTTGGGCCACGTTGGTCAAATTTAGACAGAACTCACTGCCAACAGATCCAGCATTGTGTACGATCATTGCTTGCTGGAACTCACTTGCCACTCTTCCCTGCAACAGAGTCAATCAGGTGATTGTGTCAACAGTGTCATTAAGAAGAAAAGAGAGTTGAAATGAAACAACAGTCATTTACAAATCGGCAAACAAACAAACAAATAGTATAAAAGAGGATTAATCCGTAAGTGGCAATTATCAAAGGAATCATAGGTAGGAGCACCTTAAGAATACAGTACCACAACTTCTCGTGAGGACCATCTGCCGTAGGTCAACCGTCTCAAACACGAGCAGCCAGTTTTTGTGAGAATCTGTCAGACGCAAACTCGTGACCTTAAGATTGTTAGCCCGACAGCTTACCAACTGAGCTATGTGCGCACTGTGAAACTTAGTGCAACTGACCTAGTCATGCCTACGATGTTACGGAACTGAACGAAGAGTGAGTTTGCTTTTGAATCGGTATTGAATAAATGTAGCAGGTGAAAGTTGCTTGTGTAATTGTACCAGCACAGTTTCCAGAATCCAAAACCGTTACTAAATTCGTCACTAAACCATTTCACCCTTCTTTCTTGACATTTTGTGTGAAGAATATTAGGAGCCACTATAGAATCTATAATAGCCATTAACCGGTTCCTAACCCTAATGATCTTATAGCTAGCGTTGAAAGATCTTGAAGGGGATCCAAGGGCTAAGAATAGAGTTTGGGGAAACCTATCCTAACACTGGTGACATTTGGATGCATTCACCTGTGTGATGCAATCACAAACTTGCCCACACATAATGAGTGAGTGAGTGAGTTTGCTTTTACGCCGTTTTAGCAATATTCCAGCAATATCACGGCGGGGGACACCAGAAATGGGCTTCACACATTGTACCCATGTCAGGAATCGAACCCGGGTCTTCGGCGTGACAAGCGAGCGCTTAAACCACTAGGCTACCCGACCGCCCCTCCACACATAATGAAACTTAACCCAGATGCTGAAGTAAATGAAGGTGATCATGACTTTAGCCCTGCTTTTACCATGTTTACTGGAGCTAAAGAATATCTGGACAGACCATTTACGGCAGATGAAATTGCTACTGAGGTTAATAAATTAAGAAATAAAATAGCAGGTGGGTGCGACAATATAATTGATGAGGATATCAAAACTTCAATTTGTATCACGATAAATATACACACAGCTGTATTTAATAAAATCTTATATTCTGGATGTTATCCAACGTCTTGGTTAAAACCATTTATAATTAATAACAATAAAGGAGACTTTAAAGACCCAAACAAATATAGACCCATTACACTCCTATCGTGTCTGAGCAAGTTATTTACATCTGTCTTGAACAACAGACTAACTTCTTTTCTCGATAACACTGAAACCCTCTCTGAATTCAAGCTGGATTCTGGAAGGGATATTCTATGAGTGACCATATCTTGAATCTGTAGTCTTATTCATATTTTGTAAACAAAAAAGTTATTCTGTGCTTTTATTGATTTTGAAAAAGCATTCGACAATGTCTGGAGACAGGGATTATGGCCAAAACTTATTAATTATTAATTACTGATAAATGGAAAATGTCTTAAATAATATACTCCATTTACAGCAATATTAAATCATGTATTTCAAGCAAAGTAATAATCACAGAATACTTTCAATGTCTAAAAGGTGTACGACAAGGTGAAAACCTGTCACCTATGTTATTCTCTTTATTCATTAACAAGGCTGATATCTAGTAAAGACTGCGTTGATCCTCCCTTTGACATGTGTGAGTTTGAATGTTGCGTTATGACTTGCCACGAACCCTTCATAGTAAGCCAACTGCCTGGGTAGTCTAGTGGCAGAGTGTCCGCCCACAGAGTACTCTCAGACTACTCATGGTTGGCGCAACAGTATCTGATTCCCGGACGTTATATTAACTGGTGTTATCCATGACAATGACACTGAGTATGTTTAAAATGGGCTCTCTGAACATATCACCATTCATTCCCTTATGATAATCACCAGTTATCTTATTTGCCTCGAAAACTAGCCATCAATAAGCCACAGATCAGGGTTCCGGTGGACAAAACAATGACACGATTACCTTTACCTGATGGTACTATATGTGCCCTTAATCCATCTGACGATAGCCACATGTAGTCATCAAGGTAAATAATCTGGAAACCCTGACTTTGACAGTTATGAATGGTGAAGAGATAATGTGACCTCATAGACAGGATGAAATAACTTTCCTTGAAAACTACTGTCATCGCCACGCACAGTGTATCGAAATCACATCTTGTGGAGAGCAATAGTTAGTGCAGGCCGGGAAACATTAATTCTGTCTGTTATTTCCTCCCCAATTTTACTACAAGTCGAGTGAGTGACCTTCTGCTCATAAAGCTTGTACACTATACGCTTAATCACCCTTTATCAAAGCTGTCTAATATCCTTTTACGCCCCGGTTTTGTTTTTGAGACTATCCCTATACCTGTTTTGTTTTATTTATCATACCTGAGACTTAATGGTATGAATTGAAAACCCAGTAGCTTGGGCAGTTCAGTAATTCACCCTATCTAAACTAATAAATGGTTTCCCTCTATCTCGCTGAAGTGTAAAGAACTTGTGTACATTTCCTGGTACAGGGCAGTGTTGACAAAACAAATTTTGTTATTTTAGAAGATGTACATCTAGAATTTTCTCCACATGAATTTTTTGTACGGGCAAAAAGCATTTTCCTAGCATTCCCAACAGTACTTTAATATACAAACGGCCTCAACAGACCAAATACACTCGCAATGAACTACTCAAACAATGTACTACATTGACTACAGTTCACTTTATTATGGCCTAAAATTTGAACGTTAGTCAGGCTTTTTGACCAGCCCTAGTATATTGCTTGTTTGCTTTAATATCATTGAAATGTTTCAACCTGAGCAATTAATGGAAAAAATGATGTACATTTTCAATAAACTTAAGTTTTACACTGACACAATGTTTTTACCCCAACACAAAGACATTCCAAGCTGATTACCGTGAGCACATAATGCGGCATTTTGTTTCCTATTATCACACTATCTGTTTATAAAAACATGTTTATTGTATATGTAGACATATGTTTGTAGTAAATTTTATTAAATCTATTCAAACTTGCATTCAATATTGTTTACATTAATTTTGAAAGAAATTGTGCACCAACATTATTTACAGCAACCACAAACAGATTACCGCTATCAATGCCTTGAAACAAACCTTAGTTGTCAGGGAATGGATACATGTATCATAAATGCCACACTTTGACTTGTTAAAAGTCATAATTGTTGCAGTTTGACTATTATATGTCAACATAATGTCTTCGCAATCGAATTGCATGTAGCGTGAGATTGTCAAATTGTTCCACACGAAAAATATATCCGGCAAAAGCAGATGAACCAAAGTACTATGCTTATGGTTATAATTATTTAAAATAAGACAATATTGGAATATATTATTCCTGATAACATAACAGTTTCAGATACAATTCCTTCGATCATTGCATCAAGATTCTTTGAACTTATATTATTGGGTATTTTTTTAATGAATCACTGGTAGATTTGGAAAAAATGTGTACACAGCTGATAGATATTTCCAGCTTAGTTCACAAGAAAGTACACACAGTAATCTTAATCTCTGCACATAAATCAATGCCTAGCAGAACAAGAAAAACAATTTAAATGGTAAAGCATCACAGCTAGTGATGTTTTACCTCAAATTTCACTTTTTTTTACCAAGTTTGTTATCACCTGTTCGTTCATCTGACTCACTATCAGAAGGGATATCATGTAGATTTTTTACTGTGCATAATACTTGAAAATATTTTTTTGCACTGTGAATAATAAACAACTACAATATTCTAATCCTTTTTCAAACTCTAATATGTGTGAGCTGAGGCGATAGTGGCGAAGATCGTGTTAAGTAGGCTGAGCATGTAATGTTGTTGGTCATCTACCCCTACAACTCTACCTTGGTTAAACGACTGATCATCAGTTAATGCTCATCAATTATTGGGACCCCAATGGTATCAATGTATCGGGGGATCACTGCAGTCATACGCATTGACATACCCTATACCTAAAATTATCAGTAAGAACTGATTATATCCATAGATTTCTTCAGAGACAACACAATTACTCATATTCAAGAGATATCAGATTGGTTCGATGCACAAATGAATATACTGGTATGTTGTGTGAACCGACACTCATGAAGGCATAACATGTGACATCATAGATCCATGACACTAGATGCACCATTTGTCTCGTGCAGGATTAGTGTGTCAAGTTTGGAAATCATGTGCAGCATATCATGATAAGAATAAAGACACTCTGTGGTAACACTTGACTGATTGTTAGTTTTGTCATTAAGTGGTACATGGAAACATCTCTTCTTAACGTAAACATTTCTCTTTATGTTTCTATGGTTCGGGTTTCTTTTGACGGTGAGTATATATATACTTAATTTGACTGTAATGTGGTCACTGGTCATTGTCGTGATCAATTAGCACTGTCAACATGGTCAAACAATGTCAAATAATTTATTTTCTTATTGTTTCTCTGAATATAAAAAATAATACATCAACTGCTGACTTGTTATTGTAATTGTGAATAAATATTTGTATGTGTTACCCTACATTCGTGATACGTAACATATTCATATCTTTGTTACAGCCCTACTTGTCATATGTTTTAAAATCTCACAACTGCATTGATAACAAATGTGTTGCTTGACAAACGTTTCATGGGAAATACATTACCTTATATTATGGGTTCAGTGACAATGGAAATGGGTAGTATTGCATTGATAACAATTGATAACAAATGTGTTGCTTGACAAACGTTTCATGGGAAATACATTACCTTATATTATGGGTTCAGTGACAATGGAAATGGGTAGTATTTAGGTTACGTTAAATGATATTAGTTTGAGAGCCATTTCGGTAGTAAATGCCAAGGGGCATGATCTTCTATATCTGGTATAGGGGCAACGCACTGGTGTCATGATTGGAAAGCTTAGTATTGCTATATCGACACAAAATACCCTGAAATATGGATTAAAAGCAATAACTTATTCTGTGTGTTTGTATGAATAAATATTTCCTATCTAGACCTGCAATTAATCAACGTAATGCTAAATAGACAATAGGCTGATCCCTTACCATGATTACATATTTAAACATTAATATTCTGCCTTCCTATACATATTGTCCACTTTAACGATGGTAATGTTATCAAATGTAAATGTTTCTGGGGTAGCGAAGATTTTTTAGTGATACATGTACATTGATATCGCAATATCGCAAATTATTGATACATTGATATCATTATTGCAAAGATATGGAAGGCTATGATGTGATGCGTACCTTGATACACCAGAATAACAACACAAAAACCATGAGTAAAAACATTTCAACAGTTTCTTCCTTGTTAATAAAAAGTAACATGATGCCAAAATTATTCCAACTCGCTGATCTGTAAAACACAGGTGACCTATCAAGCTCACATTTATCCCTATTTAGATACGGTTATTCTTTCGTTGAGAAAGTTACAGATAAACAAGTACTTTGTGTCTTCATGAAATGCAATACAGGTCTGTAAGTATCGCGTATCATATCAAAGGCCATGCACAGTGTGATATCAGAGTTTGGTGCCTCGATCGTTTCACCCTTATATCCGGACAGCAATGGGGTTACTCCTCTCACGACACTCAATAACTTCTTGAATGATGCAAAGTAGACAAATGAAACCCACATTTGTGAAACAGTTTGTACCAGAGACGTATTCAAAATAATTCCAATCAGAACATGATCTTATATCAATATGTTGTGTTCATGCACAAGCTAAGCAACGACAATTCATTAGTAATTACACTGTTTCACTTCTACCGCTTTGATAAGTTTTAGACAGATTCAAATAATTCTTATAATAACAGCTTAATTTATTACTGTTGGCTACATATTTTGTAAATATAGTTTTTATCAGGAAGGCAAGTTACTTTTATTCAAATTATATGAATGTATGAAATTTGTTTAATCTAAGACAAGTCTATCAACTGTCCGAGCAATGTCTGCCGTATCTTATTTTCTGTTTTGGTATTGGGACAGTGCATAAGATTACTATTTATTCTTAGGGTGTTGTAAGAATTGATGCAATCTTAAATCCGAAAATGGTCAAGCGTGATCCTTCTCAGCTTATGACACCTTTGATCTTTACTTGTTGCTGTCCACAATCATATTTTTATTGACCCATGTAGCCTACGAGGCTGAAGTCATGTCTATCCCATATAGTGCTGTACATTAGGGCTGGGACGAGTCCAAATTTACGACCCGGGTACCCACACCCCTATTACCCGACCCTACCCAGTTACCCGCTGTTGGTGTCAAGAGACAGGTACAAGATGTCTGATTGGGAATAGTTTGACAGTAGCCCTGTAGAATGTATATAGATACATATATATAAAACGATGTGGTCATGCATACACTGAAGTTGACTGAAGGTTTAGCTTTGTTCAAACTTATGTAAGTCAGAAGGAACGTGTTCATAGTCATGAAGAAATGCGAACATTCGAGACTTAAAATTGTCGTGTAACCATGTACATGATGTAGTTATATATTTAATTTTTGTCATGAAACAAGATATCACGTGACTAACCACGGATCCGGGTAGTCCTGTGGGTACCCAGGTCCTACTCAGTAACCACCCGACACGAGTACCTGAGTTACCTGTCCGAGCCCTACTGTACATGAAATGAACCTTCCATGCCCTCTGCTTATATCTGCGCTTGGGAATCCACCTTTTGATTCAATTTCTGCTTGACTTTCAGCGGGATATATATTATTTTCTTATTATGGCTACTGCTACTGGTGAAAAGTGTCACTCATCACTAGTGCTGCTGCTGCTGTTACTGCTGCCAACCCATGTTGCCCTTTTAACTATATTTTCCTTAACTACCAACAAGTCCTGCCTCACCTAGACCTTAACCATTATTTATTCGGCAAGTTCAAGGAAGGCGTGTTTCAATAATTCGTGTAAAATTAGCAATTCCGGTGCTTTAGGCCAGAGGGCGTGGCAGTCGAAGAGAAATGTTAACTGGACATGAAGCAGAAGAGAGAGATTCACGACAGTAAACTCTGTGCATATGTAGCCTAAAGGATAGAGTTTGTCGGGTATAAAAGATATTGCTTGAGCTAAAGAGTACCAACGATGTCTTGGTACTGTCCCTGGCATCTAAGCTACGTAAATGACCTCATGTCAACCTACCTGAAGACAATCTTTGAGCAACGCATTGTACTTATGTTGATCAAGCAACCCCTGGTCAAAAAGATGGGTCACGCACGGAACACCGGTACTAGCTTTCGTTGACAAAGTCTTCGTCACGGCCAGCTGTTCCAAATCTCTCGCTAACGCTATGACTAGGGATCCTGGTGGAAACTTAGACGCAAAGCTGACAACGATACTCCTTCCAATACCTCTGCTGGCTCCGGTGACAATGCATACTGTTTTGATAGAAAACAATTTTTTTCCAGGGAAGTCAGCCATTGTCGCAAGATATGAGTATTGTAAGCGACGTACTGGTAAAGTTACCTCCCTTTAAAAATGATTTGGCCTGCAGATCACATATATACAGCGGTATCACGTCAATGTGGAATGACGACGAATACTTGTTGGGGGTTCATGGGATTTATTACGTCTGTTCAGGGATCGGGGATATAGAGATCCCACCACAATATGGATACGGATGATAATTCCCTAAAACATAATATAATAAGGTTGAATTAGTAATATAAACAAGAATCTATATTAAACAAACATATTATTACATTTACTGTTTACCATGAGCATGATATTAAGCATATATTATCAGAACAACCATCAGTATATTATTACAGCTTCAAATCCCATTTATATGATGCAATACACATCAAAATATAACAATATATATACATACAACTATGACATATTACTCTCTCTCTCTCTCTCGTGACTGAAGAATAAGTAATATATTTACAACATTGCGTATCATGTGGATGGTACTGCAAATTATACTATATAACAAATATGCAAATTATTAAAATGATAAAAGTGTATTTAACTAGACTAAAATATCAGACCCTAACCTCCTTAGGATAACTATAAATACTAAAGAAGTCTAAACTAACTTACCCCAATCAGTGCAGTGCTGTGCTTCATGCCGAGCTGTTGCGCAGCAGTGGCCAGAGAAAAGAAATATTGAGTGTTTAAAGCTAAAAACATGGTCACATGCTACAGAAACAATAGAATAGGCAATCACTGGCCAAGCTGTGGCTGGACCATATCACTAAAAACCTTAATTAACTAAACCCTGTACTTCACCTAAGGATTAGTAGAGAGTGCTCAGGTTAGTTTTTGTCATACTTAACTCAATTATTTACCTAAGTTTAAAATACGTAACTTAAAATACACAATATTTACATTCTGCTACATTCTGCTACATTCTCCCTCCCGACTTACAATGTCACATGTCTGGGTTGGAGAAACGATGCCCTGCATTTCCAATCTGTTGATGCTGTTGGTACCATACTCTTACAGTAATCTCCACTCGTCAGCCACGCAGGCCTGTGGCTCTCTCTCAAGGATCTCCTTTGTGGCGGAGTTAGGAGAACTCTCCTAGGTAACCTTCTTGGTGGTTCCGGTATCAGATCTTGGAATGGTTGCTGTTCCACGTTGGTCTCCGTCTCAGTCTCAGCTTGAGATACATTGCCTACTGTGACCTCAGCACCCTCTACCCTCGTCGAATCCATGGCATCAGTGGAAACAGATTATTCTGGTCCATTAGATCCACTGGGTTCCACGTCTTCAGTAACGGGACTAACATTGGGTGGAATGTTGGTCTCTGAAGAATTGCCGGCTGGGTCAACAGGCTGAGAAACTGCATGTCAGCAAAACGGGGTAATCATCATCAGAATCGCTTTCTGAATCTGACTGATCAGGCATCTTGTGTTCTTCCGTCCTTTTCCCCATGCACGTCGTCCTTGGTTTAGGAACAGGAACAACCGGAGTAAAATCTTGTGGTGAACCTAATGAACAAACTGGCAACACCAAGTTCCTATGAAGTGTTCTGGATCTTCCTTCTCTATTTTCCTTCTGTACACGGTACACAGGAACACCTGGATTAGGTTGATCCCCAACAACATAGGTGTCATTTTCCCACCTTCCCATCAAAGGCAAGCTGTGTCATTAGGACGCGGTCCTTATATCTAGTGAAATGATCTGTGAGTACAAGAATGTGCTGGTATCCTCCTTTAGACATTTCAAGGGAAAGAAAGTCAACGCAAACTAGCTCCAAAGGCTGGCTTGTGGCAATAGATGTTAAAGGTGCCCTGTTCTCTGTAGGTTTTCTTCTGATGCACCTATCACAAGTCTTAATCCACTGATCCACATCCTTTGCCATTCCTGGCCAGTTGAGCCTGTCTCTGCACAATGCCAATGTCTGTCTCTTCCCATGTGGCTAATATCATCATGTTATCCTGTCAAGACTACCTTGATGAAGTTAGCAGGCAGAGCAAGTTGTTTCTTCTCAACTCCTTCATGAAGAGTTACATGGTAGAGAACTCCATGTAAAAGATGGTTGAATTCCCTGGACAGAGCTACTGGTATGTCTTCCGGGATGTTGCCTTGATGAATTCCATCAATGACCTTGTGGAGAACTGGATCCTTGTCCGGAGCTTTCCTCCAGTCCCTGAGAGACATAACGGCAACGTTCTGCTTGTTGTCGGGGCGGTCAGGTAGCCTAGTGGATAAAGCGTTCGCTCGTCACGCCGAAGACCCAGGTTCGATTCTCGACATGGGTACAATGTGTGAAGCCCATTTCTGGTGTCCCCCGCCGTGATATTGCTGGAATATTGCTAAAGGCGGCGTAAAACCATACTCACTCACTCACTCACTCTGCTTGTAACAGTTGTCATCAACTTAAATAATGTTAGCAGATAAACACAATCTTTCCACATAAATTGGTTTATGGCATCTGTTGCATATAGCCTTGACAGATGTTGCAGCCATATCTTCTGTTTCTGGTTGTGGCAATCGTGAAAGTGCATCAGCAACTGCATTACTCTTGCCTGGACGGTACTTGATGTCAAAGTTAAATGAGGATAATGCTGCCAACCATCTGTGTCCACTGGCGTCCAACTTTGCTGAGGTCAACACATAAGTAAGGGGGTTATTATCAGTCATCATAGTGAAGTTGTGTCCATATTGATAGTCGTAAAACTTTTCTGTGACAGCCCATTTCAACGCCAGGAACTCCAGCTCGTGTGCGGGATAATTCTTCTTGGCTTTGTTGAGACCTCTGCTGGCATATGCAACAACCCTCTTGTTACCATATTGTTCCTGGTACAGTATTGCACCTAAACCATGGGAGCTGGCATCAGTGTGAACTTGAAATGGTAAAGAATAGTCTGGATGACACAAGATGGGTGCAGATGAAAGAACATCTTTCAGTTGTTGGATGGCAGCTGATTGTTGTTGGTCCAATATCCACTTTATAGTACTGTCTGTGTTCTTCTTGTAATGTTGTTTCTTATCCACTTTGAAAGAAGGTAACTCTGAAAGGGGACGGGCAATATGGGAGAAATTGTTGACATATTTCCTGTAATACCCAGCAAATCCGCTGACTTCTTCAGAGTTCTTAGGAGTGGGCCAGTTAACAATCTTCTCAATCTTGGCAGGGTCTGTATGGATCCCATCAGTAGAGACAATGTGACAATGTTCCTGAAAGAAGTCACACTTTTTGGCAGCTAACTTCAGTCCACTCTCACAGCTTTGTGAACAAGAACAACATTAGAAGACCATAGACTGTGTGATCTTCTAATGATACCGCATGCTAGCAGTTGTTGTAGATTGTCCTTCACCTCTTAGAAAATTGGTGGTGGAATTTGTCTATGTCGTTGCTTGAATGGCGTAGTATCTGTAAGTTCAATTTGGTGCCTGACTTTAGTATAATGTCCAAGTCTCCAGGCGAAAAATTGTTACTGTATTTCTTCAATAAATCATCACCAAGCTTCTTCCGTTCATTTGTGACCTTTCTAGTGGGCGTTCTTTCTTGGACTGGCTTAATTTCGCAGAGGATGGACTTGGGACATACAACCACTGGCTGGTTTGTCAGGTTGGAAAGTTGAACTGGGACTTGAACTTTCTTCTTGTGTTGATAGTGGAATAAAAGCTGGTGCTATCTCAAGTCCGGGTGATATGGAAGCTCTTTTATGACACAGGTGTCTCGGTAAGGCAATTCCTTGTAGATTGATGTCCTTACTGTCATGGTTGTATTAGGTGGTACCACTAATCTAGATGTTTCGCAGCTTCTCATTAGTCCAAGTTTCCCATCATTCCTAATCAGCTCTTTGTCTTGCAGAACAATGCACCTAAATGCAAGATACCAGGGTGTGTGCATTTGCTGTGCTGATGGAAATGAGGTCCGACAGTTTTCCTGCAAGACTCAAGAACTGGAATGAGATATGTGGTTCCCAGTAAGATAGGTACAGTCACGTTATACTGACTGTCGAAGACAAGTAGAAGAATGTCCAGGGGACATACCAAATGTTTCAACTGAAACTTCAGCATAACCCTTATACGGCAAACTTTCACCATCTACACATTCTATGTGAATAAAGTCTGAAAGGGGTTTTATCTCCAAAGAAGATAAAATCGCACAATGGAATGTCTCTGGGTTGGTTGATACTGACGAACCTGTATCTAAAAGGGCTTTGTTAGAAAAATCATTGATAGTAACCATGGCTTCATTTTCCGTCCCAATCAAAAAAGCAGGTAGGTTAGGACGAACAAACTCGGTGGGGCTCTGTCTAAAAGAACCTAATGTCTGCCCCTTGACATTGGCCCTCTCCCATTTAAATTACCATGCCTCAAGTGGTCAAGCCTGACCCTACAACCCCTGAAATGTGTCCATACTGCCCACATCTGTAACACTGTACACCGGATTGCAACTCGAAATCTTGAGGCGGTCGTCTTGTGGTCATGTTAAAATATTAGTTCCGTGATTAGGGAATGGAGTCATCAGTAAAACTGACTTGTTTGTTTTGCTGAAGCTATGGTTAGTGAATGGATGGCATCTGGCTCATCTTTGTCTCCATGTTGTCAATCTTAGCAGACAGCTGGTTAACCATGCCAATCAACATGGATACTTCTTACGTAGAATGGAAGTGACAGAGGGATTGCCTAAAAGTCGGGCCAAGAAAAGTCGGGCCGGGCCGGGCCCGCGGGTAATACTAAAAATGGATTGCAGAATAATAAAACGAAACGCGCATATCTAGGCAGATCTCAAATGTCCACAAACGTATAGTTTTGCTCATTTAATTGAGTTTGAATAAAAATGCACCTTCAACAATGTAATTAACTGATGATTATGACTACATACCGTGAGTCTCGTAGAAAAGTCAGCGTCTTGACTGTGTATTCTTTGATTAGAATGCTTCTCACCGACCTTAGCGTGTAGGGGTGTGATGTCCTGGGCAGGAAACGACAGTGTTTTGACTACTCTTCTTTCATTAATTAACGTGTTTAGGT